CTCACATACATATCTCAACCATGGTATTGCGATTATAGAAGATGTAATACCCAGTACCCCACCTGATATGCTGAAATGTAAGATCTGAATGGTTTGTAGCTGTCGGAGGCTCGACTCTCCACAAGCTACAAAATATATAAGCACAAAATATATATTAAGTACTTATGTTAACTGAAAACTCAAATTATATTATCTGAGTTGACTAGGTTCGCTCATTCGGCTTTAAAAAACCATTTTAGGGATTTACGAGCTGATTATTTTTTTGAAAATGTATTGTCTTTGTGGCATTCTAGACCCTGAAATATTTCTAAGTCTGGAACTAAAATCTGACTTAATCTAATTCGACTGAAATCTAAAATATATCTGGATCTTAAATCTATCTGGATTCTTAACTTTATATATGAAATCTTAACTTTATCTGAAATATCTGAATATATCTGAAATATATCTAAAATATATATCTGAAATTTCTCGAACCGTCCGGCTACCCGGACTGATCCGACTGTACTGAAATTCTCTCCGGACTGCCCGGACTGGTTCGACTGAACTGGACCGATGACTCACTCAGAGCCAGTCGATCATTGGCTTGACTATGTACAGCTCGGTTTGACCGTGGTCCGGGTTCGGCGCGACAACTCGGGGCCGGCACGAACTCGATTGACACGGCTTAATCGATGTACGGTTTGGAACGGTGCCATGGTCACTGACGCAGGGGCGTGCTTGGACCACTGCTAACAGAAATGGCGCGTAAACGGTTGACCGGATGAACTCCGTGCACGGGCACGCACTCGGTGGTTGGACTCGGACTCCGTGCACGGGCACACACTCGGCGGTTCGGCTCCAACGGTCGGACGAGAGTCGAGCACGTGTGCGGGACGATGATAGACGTTACGAATTAATGATACAACGTCTAAAAAAAATTGGTTAAACGACACTAGAGTTCGGTCGGTTAAACTCGAATTCGAAATAATACCCGGTTATCGGGACCAGATAAAACTAGGGTTTCTGATTCTCGTAAATCTTAACTCGTTTAAAGCCGATACTCAAATCACTAATTTCTATGTGATTTATATTTTATAATCAACAAATGCAGCTAAAATCCTCAACCGGATTAATTTCTATATTTCTCGCATTTCATCGGCTAAGGTCCGAATTATAATCAATATCAAATGGCATCAAAAAATTCTAAAATTTTAACTACAGCCTCTTCAATATTTATAGGATTTATGGCAAAATTATCACCTCCAAATTCAGCCCCTAACTCATCAAACTAGAAACAAGCATTAACGGTCCGATTTCACAAAATCGGTTCGTCTATCAAACGAACTCCAAAATTTATTAAACTTTAAACTAAGTCTCAAGACATTAAAAAAGGATTTATCAAGTTAGTTTCATAATTTTCGGGTCAGCCACCAATATTTAATGAATTTATAGCTATTTTACTCGATAAAATCATAATAAATCATATCTAGCTCGAAAATTCCCAAACTTATTTTTATAATTAACTAAAATTATTGTCTAAGGCCATGGAGAAAAAGTTTCAACCATTATACCTCCCAAGTAGAGACGTAGCTACATTGGGGCTTGGGTGGGCTATAGCCCTACCTAAAAAAATTAGCACAATGTAGTAGTATATTTACATCTTACTTTTTTTTTTTTATTTAGTCTAATTAAAATTGAAAATTTTCTCTTACCCAATAGCACATCTTTTTAAACTCAACTAAAAAAATTCACTTTATCAATAATTTTTTTACTTTCTAATCCCAATTAAAAGATTTAAATTTAGTCACTCTTAACAAGTATGTGAATATTTAGGAGCTTCAAATAACTTTGTTTTTAAACTTTTTTTTTTTTAGAAATAACAACTATATTGTGTTTTCTTTATTATTATTATTAATAATAATGATAATAAATTACAAATAAATTTATATGAAAATAATTTTGAAGAAATAAAATGATGTGATTTAACATATTGGTAATTATAATTGTTGGAGTAATAAAATAGTAAAAATGTAATCCTATGTCCCACAAAAACACATGCTTAATAAAATCAATATACTAAAAATAAACTTTTGGAGTATTTTTTCTAATTTTATTTTAATATATTAATATTACATTTATTTTACAATTCCTTATGGAACAAGTATAAAAAATGAATAAGATAAATAATGAAATTAACATCTATTTATTTGAGATTATTAGTGACATTTTAAATCATTTTTAAAGTTATAAACTTTTAAAAAAGTATTTACTTTGTGAAGTCTTTATTAGAAAGGTGGGATTTGATTGTAAGATTTTACATATATAATTTGTGTTTGAATCATCATAAATCTTAAAAAGTCCTAGTGAATTTCAGTGTTAAATAAATTAATTCTCTCACGACTTTTAAAAGTTTTCAAAATCTCAATTGAGTAATTCAAGAATTTTAAAAATCATAGAAAGTCAAAACCTAGATACACAAAATTTATAAAATATTTAAAAATCTTTAAAAATCCTAAATGTATATACCCTTGAGCTATTCTGTTTAGAAGAAAAAATCACGTCAATCTTTTCTACATCGAAACTTGTGCTACCTTCGAAAGATAAATCACACCACAAGATATAGATTAATTAATAATTAGATGGAGTTTTGGGAAAAAAAAAAGTTTGGAATAATTATTATGAAAAAGACATGATATTAATGTTGCAATATCAATATTAGTCAGCCCAGGATAAATTTTAATCTTAGCTACGCCCGTGCTCCCAAGTAGTTCGAAACAAAAATCGGAAGATAGCTAGGTCTAGGAAAATTGTTTGCGGGCTTGAATCGGGTTGGGCTGTGGTGGTTAAGCCCGGAACTGTTGCTGGTCGTGCAGCTGCGTAAGGAAAAGGTTAATGCAGCTCGTGTCTTGTCGGATCTGTACCGAGAGAGCTCGAGTGCACAACAACGAATAGACTGCTCACCGGCGTGAACACGGGCTTCGTCGGACGGTCGGGAAGGAGCTGTGAACGGCCGGCGGACAGGGCCGTTGCAAGTGACGACGACGGCAAGGCGAGGTTCACCGGAAAAAATGGAGTTGAACGACGCGGACTGACCTGAACGCGGCGAACTCAGGCCTGACGAGATGGACGGCGCTGGCACTGAAACCTACCGGCGACGAGAAGGTTCAAGAGCGGCTCGACAGCGACAGACTGAGGCTGGTTACGATTCGCCGGCGTAGACGGGCTGACAACGAGCAGGCGGCGATGGGGAGCTGCGAACCGCGGCCTGCGGTTGTACGGCGTGTGAGCGAGCTGCCGACGTGAAGAGTGAACCGACGAGGTCGCTGCGAACGGCGGGGAAGGGCTGGTCGCGGCGGGGCTAATTTCGCTGGCATGGAGGAAGGGAGCCGGGCGCGCGAGCAGCGGTTGCCAGAGCTGGTTCGACGACATCCTGAGCTTACCGGTCGGAGGTTCGCCGGAAAATGAGGTGGCCGGATTTTCTTGAAGGTGAAGGTGAAAGCTTGAAGAAGGAGAGCTTGAGAAGAAGATGAAGTGATGGTTGGGAGATATTTATAGTAGGAGTAGGGATTAGGGTTTTTGTAGCCTTAATGGGCTCACATGGGCTTAAAGCATTTCAAATCGGGCTTAAATTTCTAACACTCGGGCTCTAAAATCGCCTATAAAATTGGGATAATTATCACTTGCTACTTAGGCTTGGTATATTAAATAATACTTGGACCGAGAAAGAAAACACGTTAGCTTGAATGACTAATTAAAATCGACTACGGCTCGAATAAATTAATTATCCGGCTACGGTCCTCTTTAATAAAATTTTCGATAATTCCAAGGCTCGATTTTTAAGAATAGAAATGATACTTTGACTAAATAAATTCGACTTTTATAATTAAAATCGAATAATTTCTCCATGGCTTAGACTTAATATTAATTACTCAATTTAATGCAAATAATAATAATAAATGCATCAAATTAGGAAACTTAGTATTTATGGAAATAAAATCGAGCTCTATAAATAGTAAATTAATAATCTGGGCATTACAATGGAACTCCAAAATACACGATAAATGCCCTGCATGACGTCGTGCCTGATTCATCTACACGTCCCAACTCGATTTTCGGTAAACCGAAATCACACGTGACCTTGCGAGACCCACGTAAACGCCTTTTTCATTTATTTTACTAATATGTACCCTTGAACTCGAGCTTCTCTAAATAAATGATTGGGACCTCGAAATAATAAATCGACGCCACAAACGGCTTTTCCTCTTCTCGTGCTTTCTCAAAAGCACTTTTCGTTAATGTTCGACTCGCTTATCGAGGCCCGACGGAACACCCGATGTAGCCTCAATTAAATAAGCTAATATAGAACAAAAAATGAAGAAAATTAAATATAAATTATAAAATTAATTTTATTTATAAAACGTATTTTCAAAATACGTTGTACAATTCAAAATATAAATTATAAAATTAATTTTATTGATAAAACATATTATTGAAATACGTTTTATAATTAATTAGTTGTAAAACACATTACTGAAATACGTCAGTACAATTAATTATAAATTATAAAATTAATTTTATTTATAAAACATATTTTCAAAATAACGTTAACTTAATTACGTGATTATTTTAAGATAGTAAAACGTATTCTCAGAATACATTTGTAAAATGTATTCTGTAAAACGTATTCTCCTAATACGAGCTTTTAATTTTAGTCCACATTTTATTTTATTTTTTATTTTATTTTTGTCCACTTAATTTTTTTCAATTTTTATTTAAATAAAAAAAATCAAAACCTGAGACCAACCCCCAATTTATATGGGAATCGTGCCAAAGTTAGAGCCACACAAAACGAAAATGAAAAAATTTATGTTTGAAGATAAGACCCTTGTGGAGAGCTTTTGCCAACCTCTCATCGTCTCAATATTTTCCATATACCATAGGCTCCCCAAATAGTTCCCACTTTCATTTTTGCTCCTCCCCAAATAATTCGAGATAAAGCAGCAAAAAAGTAGTGTGTGATGGCGTCCTTGAACTTGTTCGTCTCTCCAGTTGTCACCCCTCAAAGAAGAGCAACTCGTACTGCAGCCACATCGGCTAAAACCTCCGGCGGAAGCACTGAGGAGAAGAGCATTCTCGACTTTATACTCGGGGGTCTGACAAAGCAAGATCAATTCTACGAGACTGATCCCATCCTGAAGAAGGTGGAGGAGAAGAGCGGCGGCGGCACAACCTCCGCTGGCCGGAAGAACTCGGATGCGCCTCCGCCTAAGAAGAAGGATGGCGGTTTCGGTCTTGGGGGCCTCTTCGCCAAGAAATAATATATATGCAAACTCATTCAGTGCATCAGCCTAATTATCTATCTTTTTATATGTATGTATTAAACAAACCCCTTCAATTAATTTGTTATTGGTTTGTGCAAGCACTTGCCTCTTTTGATGTTATCTTCATCCGCAATTCGCTAAATTGGATTCATATATATTTGATTTTACAGCGTTGTCGGGCGTTTGCTGGCTGAGAGTTGTGATGAATAATTGTGGTGGCGTTTCTTTTAGATTAATTAGTTCAATCGCTCTGACCAAATATAAAGTGATGTCGAAACTGAGTAGCAAGTAGAGAGGAAGCTTGAAAAATGTATTAAACAAAACTTGACTATAGGAGATGACGAGATCGAGAGAGAAAATGAACAACAAAAAAGGGAGATTATTAGATTATGAAGATCAATAGCAAGATGTTGTAGATTTGAAGAACAGATGTAGAAGACGAGAGAGCAGCGAGAAGAGAGAGAGAGAAGAAAACATTATTTCAGAAAATAATCAAGTGGTTCACACGTTGTGTACAAATTGTTATTTTTATCGAGTACCGAATCGAAAGATTCGTTCCACGGATCGATCTTACGAGGAAGGCGGTTCGAAATTCAGTTTTGGTATCGATAGCACATAAAAAAAAAATCATAAACACACTAATCAGATGAGGGGTTGGAAAAATTATCAACTAAGAAATAATGAAAAACATAAATCTACCTAAAAATATAAACGAAACAAATATGAAGAAGCTAGGAAGTCGGGGATAATCAATTCAATTTCTACTAGCAAAATCGGGACATTAATTCTTCTATTCCGAATTGACGCTCTCGCTCAAACGTCTAGTGGTTCGCTCTCAATAACTCTTCGTAACAAGGGATTGAACATAAACGAGCAAGCTCGAGTTTACAACACAAGCAAATTATCCCAATCCCATTAACTTTTCGTAACAAGAGACGGGTTATCGACAAGCACGCATTTCAATCCAAAACCTATAGACTATTCAATTACGAAATCATCTATCTCATGCGAGCCTAGGTCTACGACTTCTCCCCTCTCGGTTGTAAAAATCATTAATTCAATTAGAAGGTATTTAATCAACTAATCATATAGAATCAACAAAACCAAACTCGACAACTCAATATCCAATCGTTACCAATTGCAAGATCGAAGTGTCACCCTTCGATTACATCAAACTATAAAGCACAATTTCATCAATTCCGAATTAAATCAACTCACATAAGTACGAACGAGTCAAGCCCAACAAGTACAATTCAAACAAGAACAATCATCCTCTATCCCTCGCATTAAGAGTTAGCTACGTAAAATCAATTCAACACAATCAATCATTCTCCTCAAATCAACCATTTTCATGAATTAATCAAAAGAGAAAAACTTACAACTAATCCCAAATTCAAGTGTTGAAACTGAATTACAAACTTAATCCTTAAGTACTATGAAGAATAAGAACAAGAATGGAAAAGAAAGATTAAAAAGTAGGAAAAACAAAGAAGAAGAAGAGGGGAAGGATAAAGGAGTTTGTTCGTGTTTTTCCTGACCTAGGGATTTCACCCCAGAAGGTGAGAATAATCTTTGTCGTGTTCCGTACGAGTATTTATAGGGAGCAGGGTGAAAGGCGTGAAAAAGTCAACTTGGCGTGGAGGGGCGTGGTCGCCGCGACGTGAGGAGGAGCTGTGCCGCGCCGCTGAGGGGTGTAGTGGCGTGAGAAGGAGCTTTGCCGCGCCGCTGAGGGGTGCCGCGACATGAGAAGATGTGGTGTCGAGCCGAGCAGGTGTATCGCGCCGTGAGGAGTTGGACTGCCGCCGCGCGTAAAGCTGGAAGGCTCTGTCGGGATCGCGGCAGTCATGGCAGCGCGGGGGGGCGCGAGGCCTGGGCGAGCTGCTGGCTTATGTTCGCAACTTCACTTCTGGGGCTCGTTTGGGTTCGTTTGGACTCGAAATTTGACTCTGCTATTTCCTGTGTGTTGCCAATGAACTCCTCTATTTAATTATGCTTGCCCGACTAATTTTCACCTGAAATCCGGTCCTCTTGAGGCTTCCGACCTACACACCATGAACAAAGAAAAAACTAGAAAAACACACGGAAAACACAAGGAAAGCCAAAATAGATCAACTCACGCAATAAGATACAAAAACAAATAAAACCCAAGGAAAAGACCTAATATGGGGGAAAAAGAAAGAAAAAATAACTACGAAAAATGCAACAAAAATGGGACAAGCACAAAAA